CGTCAGCCTTCCTGCTCCTCTGATGCTGCTTGGCCTGCTGTGTTCATCCAGCTCTACACTTTGTTATCTCTTCCTTCCTCAATGGATGGGGAACAAATGGCAACATTGTCAAAGTGTGACAATCTCAGCTGGCAATACTGAGCGGTAAAATGGGAAAGAAACAATGTTGTTCAGTCGTACATTACATTGTAAACACGGCCAACGTCAAGTGAAGTCATAGTCTAAACTGCAATGGAGCAGGCATTCAGATGTGCACTTACCACCTCCTTTGTCATCTCTTCAATCATGATGCTATCCCGTGTGTATGGACTCCGGTTCAGCGAGTATGACCTATCCGAACTGAAGGAGCGAAGGCTGTTGTGTTTACAAGTTACCAATCAAGGGGTAGATGATAATCAGGCAGGCAGAGGGGAGGAAAAGAAACTCATTAATGCATGCACTTTCCAGGGGGAGGCAGACGGGCAGAAGGGGGAGGTCATGAAAGGAAACGCACCAACAGCACCCAAAAATCAAACAAACTAAGAGCAACAAAAAGAGAAACTTTTTTTTTGTTATTTCCAGAGATCATTTAAAAGCAGATCAAATGCCAAAATGTCTTTGTTTGGATGAACTCAAACAAAAGGTTGAAATTATGAAAAACGACTGAGCAAAACCTGCTCTTCCCCCACCCCTTGCTCCGACGCTGTGCAGCTATAATACCACCAGTGCTGATCCAAATAAGGCTGATTAAATCCTGACCTTCTGGGGGAGAAAAAAATGATTCCTTCTGCGCCCTCACAGCAGCAGAGGGCTGCACTGCCCAATGAGTCAGTTATGTTCACTCATTGTGCTGCCTAAACAATAAAATGCTACTGCACTTCCTTCCAGCAAAGACAGGTTTTTATTTGCAGCACTCGGCATTTTCAGTATAAGACGACGCTCTTATGTGAATCAGGACAAATGAAAAATATGAACAGTAAATGCTTTTAGATCATTTTAAAATCGTGGATCTTCTTTCTAAGAACTGTCCTCTCGCCACACTCATTCAAACCTGCTGCATAGGGCAACTGAAATCACTACTCAGCCTGTACACTAAACCTTGCAGTGGAAACAATATACTTACATATGTAAGTATATATGTCCATATCGCACCTTCAAAGCAATAAAATGCCTCCCTATAATTCACAGGACTGTAATTAAACACAGTCTGATACCAAGACACAATAAGACAATATTAGTGACTGTGACATAGTTAAGGAGGAGAGTGAGGTAAAAGACAGATGGAGAAGTTTGAGAAATGAGGAGAAAATGGCCTGCTTCCACACTGTAGGGATTCTATTCTATTCAATTCTATTTGATTCCATTCTAAACTCTAGCACAAGAGTTCCAGTTAATTTCGACACAACTGTTGCTCCTTAGTTAGGACTGATTTACTTTGAAAGGACTGGCGATCAGATTTACTCAACACTATTCTACAACCTACACACAGAACGGCTTGAAAAATAAATCATATCGCTAACTTTGTTTTCTTCCCCACTTGCCTACTACCTTACTTTGGGTTGAAGGATTTCTCAAAATTGTTTACACTTTGATCTTTTGCAAATAGAGACTCATCTTATTTAAACAAAAAACAGGGAAAGGTTAAAAATGGTTTTCAGAACAGTAGCCGCCTTTTGGCAAGGAGTGACACAAACTTTGAACTTCTGGTTTTAAAAAGAAGAACCATCCCGACAAATTTAGGTTTCGCTTTTCAGAAGACAATAACCTGATTGGGAACCCTCGGCTAAAAACGGCCTTGGCAGATGCCAATAGTGGTACTGGCATCTTGTGCAGCTTCAGAACAGACTATTCCTGGTCCCGTGTGTACACAAACACACATATGCATAGTTCAGTGCTGATACCGCGTTGGTGAACTGCACAGAAATTGGGCTGAGTTACATAGTAGCCCATCAGTGGATTTGAAGATTGTGGATTCATAGAGGTCTGGGGGCAGCAATGCCTACTACATACCCTTCCACTGCAAAATACAAAGTGGGGTTTTAAAGAAAAAGACATTTTTGTTTCCCGGTAGCCGTGAACATTGTTCACAGCTGATGAATGCACATAATACTCCAATTCTGCAAATAAACATCCTGGTGGCAGCCTATCACTGCAAAGCTCCCAAGTTTTCAAAAGAAGCCCAAATGTAATTAAAACAAACCACCAACTTTTCAGAATTAAAATGAGAATGGGAAGACAAAAAGCAGGGTCCAAAAAGTGCCTTCTGAATCAACATAGTGCCCCTGGAAGATACATACAAAGGCAGACTTAAGAACTAACATACCAGCTGTGAGGCTACAGCAACAGCAAATCAAAACGCTAAGGGCAGGGGAGCAGCCAAGACTTAAACCTGACCAGGTTTGAGAGATAGGGAGCAGCGTTAATAGCATCACACCAGTGCTTTAAAGGATTAACCCCCCTTGCCAGCAGGAAGCAGAACACAGCAGTATTCATTATGTAGGTTGACAGAGTCTATTACAAATCACAAAATCTCCCGTTCCAAAATGTTATTCAAAATCACCAAAGGCACATCATCCCAGAAGAACTTCTGTCAAAATCTGGACCACATAGCCGGGCACACCAGTCACAAAATACTGACCATTAAATAGTTTAACAAGGACTTTAGATCAATTAGATTCATCTGATAAAATTACAAGGAACTCATTCGGTTATGAAAATAGCCACTGGGTAGTTAGTTAATTTTTTTTTTAGAAAGATACTACAGTTCATTTTAATTAGCTCGTGTGCTGAATGACATAGAGATTTGGTCTGGGGGGCAGTGGGTGCAGATTCAGGACAGTGAGAATTGGACAGAGAGAGAAAGTCAATGAATTATTTCAAGCTGCTGCAGACTTGTGCTGCTAAACTCAAGAGGAAGGGCTTTTCCTTTGTTTTTTGCAGATCAGGACACCAGGGTTAATAGACCCAAGGATTAATTGTGAAGAATTCTCATTTTCACTCCTCTCACTTGGAAAAGAGCAGAGGAAGAGGTGAAGAGACTGGCATGTTTCTGGCGATAGAACAGAATTGATTCCTACAAATTCTGGGATTAACCTTTAGCAATGGCCCAAATTGGTCAAAGCTGGTTGAGAACGCAGCACCCATTCACAATGTGTTGGAATCATAGTGCGGAGAATGTTCTGTGCAAATACTGCAAAGGTTACTGGAGTTCAAAAGGACAGGCTTCAAGAAAATGCAGAATGGGGTGAAGAATCTTGGAAGGTGCACAAGAAAGGGTGTGAGATTTACAACAAAAAAAGCAGGAAGTATCAGAAACTGTCATTGAGGATACAAGTCAACTTCATTCCGGTTGAGTCAAAACAAATCAATGAACTAGAAAGTGCAATATGGTTAACAAGATCGGAAGAACGAGGAGTAGGAATGGCCATTCAGCCCATCAAACCTGATCTGCTATTCAAGAAGATCTCGGCGGATCTGATTGTGACCCTCACTCCACTTCCCTGTGCAGCCCCGCATAACCCTTGCCCCCCACACTGATCAAATACCTGTCTAATTCAGCCCTGAACATATTCAATGATCCTGTTTCCACTACTCCCCATTGAAGAGGATTCCAAATGCTAACTGCTCTCAGAGAAGAAACCCCCTCCTCATTTCTATTCAAAATGGGAGACCCTTTATTTTGAAACTTTAGATTTCCCATGAGAGGACACAAGCTCTGACCATCTGCCCTGACCATCAAGCTCTCTACGAATTTGATGTTTCAATCAAGTCAAATGCTTTGAACCTTTCAGCTGCCATCTGTAAGACTCACTGAGCCACCTAATTTGGTGTCTCCAGCAAATTTAGAGAGACGTTATTCTATTTCTTCGAGCAAGACAATAATAACTTTATTAAAAGCTGTGGCCCCAGAGCAGATTGTGGGGGAATTCACTAGCCACAGCCTTCCAAAACTTGAGAACATACTCTCCTCTCCACCAAACCCCTACCTTTTGTCTGCTTTAGGCGTCAATTGAGAGGCTAACATTGGGGAGGACGCCAGAAGAATCCATCAGTTCTCCTTTTTTCCATCTATCCTGGAGAGCTAATGGAGCCTTAGTTTAATATCCCAGTCAAAAGACAACACCTCTCACAGAACTCCCTCAGCACTGCACTGCAGTGTCAGTGTGGATGACGCGCTTAGCCTCTGCACTGGGGACTGAACTGAGAAATTCCTAACCCAGAAAAGGTGAGAGTACTACAACTGAGTCGCAGCTGATGCTAAGGGGCGACTGGAAACTGGCTGAGGTAGAAGAGCAAGCTCAGAGCGGAGTCTTGGATTTAGATTGCACAGCGTGGTTGGAAGTGTACAGAAGTGGGTGGGGTGTGCTGGACTGAGGAAAAACAAACGTGGGTGTCAGCATACTTCCTGAGTCATAGAGGTCTACAGCATGGAAACACGTCCTTTGGCCCAACTGTCCAAGTCGCCCAGTTTTCAAAATTAATCTATGGTCCATATCCCTCCATATCTGTCCCATCCATGTACATATCTAAATGTGTCTTAAATGACAATACTGTAATCGCTTCCAGCACTACCTCTGGCAGCCCATTCCAGACACTCACCACCCACTGTGTGAAAAAAAATTGCCCCTCTGGACCCTGTTGTATTTCTCCCCTCACACCTTAAACCTATGGCCTCTAGTTTTAGATTTCCCTACCACGGGGAAAAGCTGTTCACTATCTATCTTATCCATGCCTCTCATGATTTTATAGGCCTCTATAAGGTCACCCCTCAGTCTCCTACGCTTCAAGGAAAGAAGTCCCAGCCTATCCAACTTCTCCTTATAACTCAAACCTTTCAGTCCAGGCATCTTTTCTGCACTCTTTCTGGTTTAATAATATCCTTTCTATAGTAAGGTGACCAGACCTGCATGCAGTATTCCAAATGTAGCCTCACCAATATTTTGTACAGCTGCAACACGATGTCCCAACTCCTATACTCAGTGCTCTGACCAATGAAAGCAAGCATCCTGTCTACCTGTAACACCATTTTTAAGAAGCTAGGAACCTGTAGCCCTAACATCTTGTATTTATTTAAATTAAACTCCATCTGCCATTCCTCAGCCCACTGGCTCGCTTGATCAAAATCTGCATTTCCAGATAACCATCTTCGCTGTCCACTATACCACCAATCTTGGTGACATCCATAATAGTGGTGGATTGTACTGTCTCTCCCCCCTTCCACTTTTCCATCTACACCTTCATATCAGTAGCTGTCTCTGTTCACATCTTCCACTTTGAAGTGACAAAAACATATGCTGTTACTCTCTTTCCCAGTTGAACAGAGGAAAGAGGATGACCTTTGAGTCTGCACTGCTGTAGAGTGCAATCACGATGGT